GATGCGAAGCGTTGCAATTTGGTCTGCACATGATTTGTACTTCCTGAAGCCTGCCTGTTCCGGTCGCAGTTTTGAATCCAGTGCGTCTTTAAGCCTCTCCAGGATGATGCGGCTTAATATTTTGCTTGGGGTGGACAGGAGAGTGATTCCGCGCCAGTTCTTGCAACACTGAGGTCTCCCTTCTTCGGCAGTTTGACAACGTTACCCTTCTTCTAATCAACGGCCAGGTACCTTCTCTTCCTTCCACACCTTCTGCAATAGTGGTGTGAGCATGTCCGCTGTTGTCTCTGCATCTGTTCTCAGTGCTTCTGGCGGTAATCCATCTGGTCCTGCTGCTTTCCCGCATTTCAGTAGCTTTATGGCGTTCAGGACTTCCATTTTCGTTGGGGGATTTATGTTCACTTGTAATTCAGCGGCTGCAGGTGGTATTTCTGGACGAAGTGCAGGTGGTGGTCGATTCAAGAGCTTCTTGAAGTGGCCGACCCATTGTTTCTTTTGTTTCTCTTCTTTTGTAATTAAATTTCCTTCTTCATCTTTTATTGGTTTCATCTGTGTTGGTCTCTTCCCTGATAGCAACCTGGTTATTTGATACAATGTCGTCAGGTCTCTCTTACCTGCAGCCTGTTCTGCTTCACTTGCCAGTGTTCGTAGAAGTGTCTTTTGTCTTTGCATGCACTCTTCTTCACTTCTTTGTCCAGTGTTTTATACATTGTGCTCAGTTCCTCTTGTCGTTGAGCATCCTTGCACTGGTTTATCTTCTGCTTCACCATCCTCCTCTCCTCTATCAGCTTCCAGGTATCCGTCGAGATCCATTCCTTGTCTTCTTTCTTCTTCCTTCCTAATACTGTTGTGCAGGTTTCTTTCCACATAGCTTTCAAAGACTTCCAGTGTTCTTCCACACAGGTTTCTTCAGGGATGTCCCTCGATGTCTCCCATTTTGTCTTGATGGCTGCCTTGAAGATCTCCTTTGTAGTTTCATCCTTCAGTTTCCGAGTGTTGTACTTGAATTGAGGTCTATCACCAGCTTCCTTGAAGGCTTTTAACTTGATTTGGAAGGTTCCTTGCACTAGATAGTGGTCTGAACCTACATCTGCTCCTCTTCTTGACCTTGTGTTAAGTAGACTGCGTCTCCATTTTCTTGAGATTGAGATAAAGTCGATTTGATTTTTAGTGTGTCCTGGTGTCTGGTGAAATCCATGTCGCTTTGTGGATATCCTTGTGCCTGAACACACTGCCTCTAATCACCATTTCAGGAGAAATTACTGTTAGTAATTAAACAAGCAGTTGGAATTTTCATATCCACAAATTTACCAGTTGGTATCACATATACAGACTCTCCTTGTTGTTCGTTAGTCTGTTTGTATAATATAATATTCATTATGGTTGACAGTTGTGTTTAGTCGCCTAGGTTGCATGTGTTAGGATGACATGCACAATATCGATTTTGCAATTAATCTTTATTTCCCCTTATTTTTATCAGACTTTAGTAAGATAGTGTTGGTGCAATGCATATTACGTTCTTATCCCATGCATGAACTGTTATCGATTAACTTTCCTCCAAGTTTCCGTCCTTCTATAGGCTGACCTGTAGTTAATCTTTGATGTTCATTCAGTCGGCTTTTCAAGATCTTGATATCTGTCCTACACTGCTTAATGGGGAGTCTCTACGTGGTATCTTATACCCAACATTATTCCCGTCTAGATTTTGAAGTGGATCTTTGAGTTGGTTCATTTTTTTAGCTAACTACATTGGTTTGAAAGCTGTGGAAATACCAGCGCTTTTAAGAGTTCTTCTAATTGCCTCTGATTTACCTTTCTTGTATAGTAATACTGCTGTTTTTTTCTGCAGTTGTCCTTTGTTTTTAACTTTCGTTTCTTACTCTTTGTTATCTTTTGTGAATTGTTCCGAATAATGATTCTTTAATGACACGTGGAATAAGACATCTCTCTCTCTCTTGTCACTGGTCATCAGGGCATTTTGTTAACCTACGCATTCTGCTTGCAGCACCTTGTGTTAACACTTCTTTGACTGTAGTTAGGCAAGCTGAGTGGTGATTTAGAAATATACCAAAATGAGTTGTTTTTCTAGATATCTTTGTTTTTAAATTACCATCCAACCTTCTTTTGATTTTACAGCCCAACACCGGCTTTTCCCGTAATCCCTCTATTTCTATGGTGAATTTTATTCAGTCCACCCGACTTTATATGGGAGAGGAATCCTTCGATATCCTTCTTATGTATTACTACTGGAGCATTATAAACACATCTCCACCAAATTTTAATCGCAGATATGAATGGTTTTAGAGCGTTTTTTCCCAAAAATCCATAGGTATATCCGCTATTATCGGCAAGATACGCGATCTCACAGCTATCCCGTTTTTTGCTCGTACAGCATCCCATCAAAATATGAAGGACGTTGTTCCTAAGCAAAGTTCTACTCCGCTTGATGTCTTCTAATGACAGTTTTGCTATTAGACCTGAATATTTTTCTAATCTTGTTTCATAGGCATTCATGGCCATTTTATTGGTATTTTTGTGTATAGGCTACTGATATAGAAAATAACAAATATTTCTTGCTCATTGATTCATGTATCTTAAAGTCGTTTCGCTAAGTCCAGTGAGTCTACTAACCTTGTTTGTGAAGCGTCTCTTGTTGGTCGTAGTATACGAGTAAGAAAACTTGATAGCTTATATGTAGTTGTATTTCTGAAATCCACTACCGGTCCAATTAGATAACCTTCTTTATGCGGTTTCACCGCACCATATATTCTAGGTATATTCGATGATTCAAGCGAATTTTCAAAGTAGTTCAACTTACCGAGTGCAGCTTTCAGTTTCCTTACCACTTTTGCTGTTCCCCTATAGTTTTGTTCATGATCGTTTTAAACAGTTTGATTACTAAAGAGGGTTCGAACAATATGTGCGCATTCATTTTCTCATCATGCATTGATTCGTTGAGAACAACTGTTTTATTTCTTTTATCTGCCTTAGTAATTGTAATGGATCTATCGGCCTAGAGTTCTTTTAGTGCTGTTAACTCATTGATCAATATATCAGATTACTTTGTTTTTCGTTGTTTTGATGTTAAAGCACAGTGAGCTCGTATTAACTCTACTGTTTATTCTTATCATATTTCTAACGCTTTCTCTTTAAAAGGTATACCATCCTCTGCCTTGGCGTTCTGTTGGTAATACTGAAGTTCATTCCTTTGCTAAGAATACGTGATTCTACTTCTTCCTTTTCTGTTAGAAAAATCAATAGATAACATAACCCCAAATGATATACGTTAAACAAAGTCTGATTACATTGCTAATATTCCGGAGAGAAAATTAGGAGAGGTGGAGTATTCTCGAGGAATGAATGAACTGCAATATAACCAACAAAATGCCAAAGGCAGGGAATGTAAACAAAAAGCGTTAGAAAGATATGATGAACAAACAGCAGAGTTAATACGAGCTCACTGTGCTTTAACATCAAAACAACGAAAAACAAAAGAATCTAATATATCGATTAATGAGTTAACAGCACTAAAAGAACTCTAAGCCGATAGATCCATTACAATTACTAAGGCAGATAAAAGAAATAAAACAGTTGTTCTCAACGAATCAATGCATGATGACAAAATAAATGAGCACATATTATCCACACCGTATCGCAAAATAACCAAACCATTCTAAACGATCATGAATATAACTATGAAGAAAACAGTGGTCAGGATATTGTTCATGTTTAGGTAGTCCCAAACATTTTTAACTAGGCTTTCCAGTACCTCGGGTAGTATGCGGATTAACGCTACTGGCCTGTTTTCACTTGCGTTTTCTCGGTTCCCCTTTTTGAAAGCATAGTGCGCTTCCATTCTTCATAAAGTTGGTTTACTTCCGGTGAGTGCGTAGACAACTTGCATGTGGACACGTTTAGGACTTCGGCACAATTTCGTATGGTCACCGGTTTTGTGTCGCTACACTCTGGCGATTTTCCTATTCTGAGAGTGGGTGGTTTATCAAAATCTTGGTTTGGTGACATCTTTCTGTCCTTCGACTTCAGATCACGTTCCTGGAAGTATTACATTATTGACGTTTGTGGAAGACGGATTCGTGTGTTGAGTTGTTCGTTATATCGCTTGTTCAACAGTTCCACTATCGCCATAGTAATCAAGACTTCACCGTTCAGTCCCGTGATAAGGTTAAGAACATCGTTCGTCGGTTTTCGTTGTGAAGTAAACCAGCATTTAATGTTCTGGGTCGCAGTTTAATTGTTTAACCAGACTACTCTGTGATCTGAGTCTGCCATTGCAAACGCTTACATGCATAGTTTTTGTGGTCTCTTGCTGCTCTCTAGCGTACGAACACTTGATGTGTAATTCATGAATACAATTCCGGGCTCATAACGGAATTTCTAGGTGCGTCCCCGAATCTAGTTGTTTCAAGAAATTCTAAGCCTAAGGATGCCATTAAATTATCACGCATATTATATTTTACCATTAGGCTTCCACAGAAATACATGCATTTCAGGTACACTTCTTTTAGGGAATCTATATGCATGTTTTCGAAAACTTTGATTGCACTGCAGATACTAGGTATTCTGGGGTAGTAAAATCGATATTTCGAAGGTATGGACGATTTTCGGCGGTGCATCTAAAAATGTTTTCCGGTTTTGACTGAGAAACTTTTAAGTGCGCACGTGTCTGCAGGTTGGATGGGGAAATCCAGGTCTTTACTAAGTTTGCTCCCCCTTTACCATGCAGGTTTCCCAGGTATTTGTCTTTTTGCCGTATGAGTCACTCAATAGCACCTGGGAGGTGGATGTCTATTCATTTGAAATCCATTATTTTACTCCGCAGAGATACTGAGGCAACCTCAAGTTGCTCACGTACACCGAATCCTTGAAGCGTGCTACAAGTGGCAAATAGTACATCATAATACGATATGACGAATTCTAGTAGCTTCTGAAACCTCGCCCCTCATAAATTCGAAGCAAGATTACCGTCTCAACAACCTCACCTATACGACCTTGGAGCGAAAATAGCGCTCTCGTGGCAGGTTCCAATCCAATATCCAATATTGATAGTGCGAGCGTAGAAAACTAGTAGTTTTTGATCTCTCGCGTCTAGTTCTTAGGGCTTGGTTCCAGTTGTTCGGTTTACTCCTGCAGTGGACGAGGAAATCCCCTCTGCTTTCTTGCTTTTAGCTTCGGTGAGGTGGATGTTTTGTGGGTTAGTAGGTTGTAATTTGTAGAGTGATTAGGGAGCTACGGGTTGCTGGGAAGTTTAGAGAACTGCCATGACTCCTGTCTGTGTAGGTACCTGGAAGAGAATAGTAAGGTAGTGGTAAAGGAATGAAGAGAGAATAAAGAAGAGAGTGAAGTAGCACCATAGAGACTCTGGGAGCTGGGTTAAGGCCGTATCGCTAACCATCCTTGCCTTTAAACAGGAGTTTGCGTAGATAGCCACTCCCCCTCCTGCTCTATGTTCCCTGTCCCTGCGGAAGAGTTCCATGCCAGCAACACGCATCTCTTCGTCGGAGATGTCCGATGAGAGCCAGGATTCGGTGATGAATATGATGTCGGAGTGCTGATGTTCACGCAGCGTCCTCATTTTTGCTACCTTCCCTATTAGCCCCCTAACGTTGCTGTACATACATATTAGAGTGTACCTGATGAGGGGGGAGGTCTGGATGTGTATTTTCGCGGGATGAGCGCTTACGTGGTTGAATTTAGCCTCGCCAGTCCTCATAGGACTGGCATTGTTCCGTTTTTTTGTGTTTTGTTCTTAACTTGGGTGGGGGCTGTAGCAGTGGTGGCTTCTTTACTTGATGTATCTAACTCACTGGTCAGCGCCTGTGTGACGACCACTGACTCCAGAGGTCTTGGTGGTTGCCGTCTCTCCTCTTGCCTTGTGGGTCTAGGCTTACTTTCACATATACGTATTGAGCCACCCATGCGATCTTTCGCATTATACCATGCGTGCAGAACGTCTGTGAGGGAGGCATATGAGTCGAACTGGACGGCAAGTAGTCTGGGATTGGGTATGGTCTTCAGGTGCGCTGGCCTTGGCAGTCTACTGACGCTGTTGGCCGGTATACTGTTGAGACCAACTTTGGTTGAGAGCCATTGCCATTGTTGGACGTCGTGAAAGTACCGATCTTTGACCGAGCTGTCACTTGGCAATTCTGGAATCCCATGTACAACTATAGTGTTGTTTCTGTTGGGATTTCCAACCGCTGACTTTCTCTCCTCCTCTCTTACTGACCATGGCTTGTCAGGCCTGGCCCGAATTTTACAGGCATTAACAACGTCCGGTTGTCGTGAGAGGAGGAGTGTGTCTTCAGCCTCTTTGGCGGTATTTAGGGACACACGTAAAGGGGGGGCTTATCTCGGGGTGCATGGCTTCCTCGAGAAAGGCGACACAAAGTTGCAGGGAGGGGAGGGAGTCCCAGCATCTGACAGTAGTCGGTCCACATTCGGCTGTCAAATTGTTCCCTCTCGACCAACAATGAGTCTGTCGATACATCGACGTTGAACAAAATGATCGAGTTGGTCCTCCTGTGACCTGGGTTCGTTGTGGGTGGCACGCCCGACTTACCAATGGGTTTGAGTAATTCCACTGGTTGTTTCTCAGTCACGGTGTGTGGGGTGTTCGGAATGGGTTTCGTAGAGGCTTCGGCGGTCGATGTCTTTGGCCATGCGCTTGACGTCCCCTGGGGCCGGGTGGGGGTATGGAGACTTGACCTAATATGGTCCCCACGCGAGATGGCGTGCCCACAGCTGGAGCTCTAGGTCTGTTTCCAGGTCTCTCTGTGTTATCCTTTGGTGTTAACCCTACCTTATTCGAGGATGCTGGTAGCTTTTGCGTGGCGGAGAGCATCTCCTTCAGGCTTTCTGTGCGGAGTGCGGGCATTTTCCTGCACTCTGGACAGATGTACCAGAACCACTTGCATGGTTGTCTCTTCATCAGCTTATAGTATTGTCGGGGGACTTTGGTATCGCAGTGGCAATGCACCCATCGTTGACACAGGTTGCATGCAAATGCCTCATCGACTACCGAAACAACTTTGGTGCAAACACTGCAGCCATCGGGTGTCGTAATACAGCCTTCCTTCCATGAATAAGGTGCTACGGATTGTGGCGAACTGCTTGTGGCTGCCTTGTTCTGAAGCCTTTTACGTCGTCTTCTATGTTCAGGCATGGTATGATCCTTGCTCAAGATAGGACTAGTTTGTGACGGGTGAGTGCTACTCTGTGTCACCTGTCTGATGGCTACTGGAATTCTAGAAACATGGGTTGGCCACTTCTTCAGAAGTTCGATGTTCTGCCCTACCTCTGTTTGTCTTCTAGTACAGACTAGTGTGTTGTTTAGGGTGTTACTGGCCGTTGTTGTGCACGACCGCGTTATCCGTGTCAAAGCTTCAGACCTAGCGTTTTGGGCAGACATGTCGCTATGATATAAACTTCTTGGGAAAACAAGTAGTTAACAACAATAAGAGGGTTGAAGACTGAATGCAGGAAAAGGACAGAATAGAAAAGGGAAGATAATTTATGTTGGCTCACCTTCAGACACTTGTCACTTGATCCTCTGCTCTTGACCAACGAGTTTAACCGTAAGCTCCAGATGCGTATGTATAACCAGGAAGATATTTCCTGGGGAATGACCTCCGAGGAGAACCGAGAGCTAAGGCAGTTTGGCAGCTGAAACGCCCAAGAACCACTGACAGGAGGTAGACCGGTTGGTTCAAAGGAATAATAATGCCAATTTTCAACTGTTGAGGAGTGAGCTGACGAATGCGCAGGGGTGAGGTGCGTGGACGGACAGAAGTGCTGCAAACGTTCTATGTTTTTAGATTGAGTATTGAAAGTGGGAGTTTTTCATTGTGGAAAAATCCAAAAGCTGAGAGACGAGCGAAACACGTCACAACTCAAGGAGCGCGCCTTGACTGGTTACTTCAATATCCTATGTCTTGGTTGTTTCCATACTTAAGATAAATTCGCTACTCTCATTTTTAGTTCTTAAAGGATGGCTCCATGTGTCAGCGAGAGCAAATGAAAGTAGAAGTCAAAAGAGAGCCAAATAAAGCATCTGGGTGGCAAGTTGCAGAATAACGGAAAATAAAGAGGAAAGAAAACTGTGACAGAAAAAGCTATGGTAAGTTTTTCAACGCCAGACAGTAGTAAAGTAGCAGAGGATCAGCAAGCCTAACAGTATGGTTAGTGGGGATAGAAGTGGCAACAAATGCAAGACGTATAACAGAAGAACGGAATTAGTTGGTCATTACAAAAAGGCAGAATAGTGAGACGCGCTAATAATAATATTAGAAAGGAAGGAGGATCGGCAACAAGAAGTGTCGCATAGGTGCAGTGACAGGTGGGTCTCTCAGACTAGTCTGTATCTTAATTGGGTAGGCATAGTTCAAGCAACAATGAATAGCTTTCGAACCTTTCCTTGAATTTGCTGACAGTTTGGATAGTGGCTACCTCAACATGTAATAAACTTCAGTCACCCGAAATCCGGATGCAAAAATTGGTTTTCAGGTTAGCTGTTTCTCTCTGATGAGTCCCTTCACTTCCAGGCTTCCAAGCGGACTTCCAAATTGACCATGTGATAATATTCCTTTGTTCAGGTGACAAGAGTTATTTACTAACATGTAAGTGATTATCACGCCACTACATGTTTAATGGCAACTAGGATCATTAGGGTCACGATCCTTCAGTCCGTTCTCATGCCTTTCGCGCTTCAGTCCCACATACCTTTTAAGGTTAGTCTCTAAACCTTCTCGAGGAAGCTTGCGCCTTTTTCAGGTGTGCGTAAAGGTGCTATGAAACTCGACATTAGGTCTTCTGGTGTTTGGGAAAGAGTTCCACAGTAAAGAAGCCTATATGATAATAAACAAGTGTTATAATTCACAGGCGGTGAAGGCACCTTCTGGATAACTCTAACTGGTTTTCAGTTTGTCGTCCAGTATTCGATCCGGAAATTTCTCTTTGGTTGCGTGGAACCGGTGAGTATCACACAAAGAGTAAAAGACTCTGCAAACCAAGAGTGCAGAAAAATACCGCCCGGTAATTGTCTAATTCAAATGCCACTTCGCTATTTTTCGCCAGGCGTTGGGCTTTCTGAGGCCACATGGTTGTTTTTCGACGTATTTTTCGGTCTCGTAGATCCCCGAAACCCAACTTAGATAGGGTGCATCTGCAACAGAAGTTGCCCTGAACTTCCTGTCTGAGCGTTCCCCGTTATGATCATCCACCGACCATTCCATTACTTTTCACATCGCCGATGAAAGGACTGCAAGGTGCAGCATTCCGATTTCTGTCTTCCGCTCCGAAAATGAAAGAGAGGATGATTCGTCCCCACTCCTGTGGGGACTGGTCGCCATCTAACAGGCCCTGCAGGGCGACACTTAGTGGACTGTTTCAGCACAGATAGGCGGACGTCGTTGCATTCTACTGACTTTCCTGCATGAATCACTGACAGTTTTTCAATGACTTGGCTGCTAGATATTCAGAATCTGTGTCTCCTGTACACTTCACAACATGCGGACGTGTGCAGACTACCGGTTCTCACAGTTGACCGACGGGTTGTTTAGCTGTGTAAAGGGTAACGCTAAACGTTCCAACGATTTTCAGTCCGGAAAGGTTCTCTCCGCTAGGGTCTAAAAAACACAAGCGCATTCACAAGTTGGCTACCGCCTAGCTAGTAATGGCTATTACTTTCTTTTTTATTTTTGCAGCAACGTCTCGATGATGATATTCGATGCTGAATTTCAATCTGGACACATCTATTAGGTAAAAATAATACCTGCCGTTTGACTCGACAAATTATTGGACTGCTCCCTATCTTTCGCGGTTCCTGGAACATCTTCACAATCAAATCATCGGCTAGTCACAGTTCTTCTTGCGACGAACCGTTCAAAGTTTCCTAACAGCCATAGTGGCACAAATATTCTGAACAAATGATAAAACGAGAGACCAATATACCTTTTGGCTGGGAATATGACTTACCTGCAGTAATTTCACA